ATGGTTAGTGCCAAAGTAAGATTCCAATTCCAATAGTAAGTACTATGTGGGTTTGCCAATCTACTCCTCTCTCTAGGAAAACTCCTGCCAATAATCGTACTATGCATAACTTACATATATTATGCATTCTAATCAATAATTCATATCATATGAATTCACATATCCACACACATATTGGTCACACTTCACATGTCAAGTACCACATTGTCCTTAATTTCACAATGACATGCTATCAAGTATAGTCATTAATCTCAAATGTGCAATCATGCATGAAGTTCTCCATTTCCTAAAACCATTTCTCACAAATTCATCATATTTGTCAAATTGCATCAAATTGTTTTCACATATTAAACAAGTTTCAAAGCATTAGTTTCAACAATTATTTAATTAACATATAACTACTAATATAAGAATTGAAAGTATGTGGTATTGTATGCTATGCTTGTTACTTTGCATATGCTTGAATCTATGTATCCTGGTTATTGAGATATCATATCTCACTTCTTACAATTTATTGATTTGTTTTTAAGGAACAATTGTGAGGCCAGGGAAAAAGAGGATTAAGCTACATACATCTTGCAATGTATTTATTTATTCCTATGTGTATGTTTAATCATAATATTGCCAACTGGGGTTAATTTGCTTATTAAGTCATTAATACATTTGAGCTAAGAAGTCATGAGCATGATAAGTTGGCTAGTAGTGGTCATTGGTCAAATTTTTGTACTGTGTCACTTAATTGTTTGAGAATTTGGCAAAAGGCTAATTTATTGTCCTAAGCATCCAAATCTCCCATATGACGTCAGATGGTGAGGAATATAGAGTTATTAGCTAGTTTATTAAATTATCTTTGTGTGGCTGCTTGGATCATCTTAATTAGAGGTGGCACTTTAGAAGTTAGGTTCGAGAGTTGATTCATTGGAGGCAGAATGCATATTAAACTGCAATTAAAGTTGTTTCATGTGTCAGTCGTAGAGGATAGAGTTATTAGCCACTGTGAAATCCTTCTGTACCTTTAGTCACAATAGATTCTCTTTTAGCTATAGTGGATTGCTTTGCTTTTGCAAAAGGGCCTTTCTAACCCTATTTGACTTGTTTTAATGCTCGAACTAATTTTTATGCTTCTGTAACTATTGGTACTACGATTTTAAGGGAGTTAAGGGTGTTATTTACTTGTTTTCAAATTTAAGTCTTTATAGGATCCCTTTTTCTTTAAAGTATTCTTTTAAATTAATCATTGAAATTTTTAATAGCTAAGGTTGATCCTATCTTCCTTTGGTACCTTTAACTAATCTAATTTATTAGCCTTAAATGTTATGGTTAGTTGGGGGTTAATATCTTGAACACTACACAATTAGCATCCTTACCTTTTAGAAGGAACGATGTTCTCTTGGAAGTGTTAAAAGTATAGCAATGTCATCCTTTTCTAACCTCTGACTAATTTTTAACTAACAAAATTTTGACAAGCCTTGAGATGAGACAACTGGCATAAGATGTGGTAGTCATACTTCACTCTGAGCACCTAGAAGGCCATGTCCTTCGGGTTCTTCCATGTTCTACATGAAATAGATCAATTTTCTAAAACTAGTGTCTTGGGTACTCCTATATTTGGCACACCACCGCCTTTTCCTCCCCTACCTTCTTCACTCGGGGAGCTATAATGTACTCTTACATCCTCAACTCCTTTACCCCACTCTATAGACATCGCCTTGACCTTCTTCCCAAGCTTTGACGCTGTGAAATCAAGACTGGTATGTCAATGCCAAGCTTCCCTCCTTGTCTTCTTCCTAAGCCATGTTAAGGTGAATGCCAAAGCAAAGGACACCACACAACCAGAGTTTTGTGCTTGTAGCAGGTAGAGTTGTGCAAACGGGTTGCAGGCCAACCCATAAGCTAGCCCATATGGGTTAGCATTTTAGCGGGTTGGGTTGGGCCAGCCCGCCAAGATAAACGGGCTAGGAAAAGCCAACCCAACCCATACATTGGCAGGCTAGTGAGCTCGCAGGTCAACCCACAAAATATAATTTTATTTTTTAAAAATGATTTAAAATTTATAATCAACATATCATATATATAGATAATAATTTTTCTCATATTATTTTTCTCAACGAATTTATATTTGTGATTTCAATCAATAAATCTCATAAGATTAATAAATAATATATAGTCAAAATATTTCTATAAAAACTAATAAATAATTGATTTACAAACTATAACACAAAATTTCATTTGTAAATTGTAAAAAATATTTACATTATTTTTTAAATGTAAAGAACATATTTGAAACTCATAAATTATAAATTTAAAAATATTATCGTTATTATAGATTTATAAGATGTATTATGATTAAAAAATAAACTATTTTTTTTAAAAAAAATAGGCTAGCCTAGTCAGTTTTGTGGGTTGGGCTAGCCCAGTCTATTTTAAAAAATGAGCCAATTCTTTCAACCCAAACCCATCAAAGTTGGTGGGTTGAACAAGCTAACCTGCAAGCTCAACTCATTTTTCCGACTCTAGTGATAGGATATCAATGCTTTTAAAAGCATGAGGAGGAGGTGGATCATAACTGGGGGTGTCGAATTCGGATGTATTGTAAGTAAAGCCATTCCCAACATCAATGAAAGCTGACTCCCTAAACTTCTTGTGCTCGTCTAAGTCAACTAGTGCTGTGAAGTTGTTGTGAGAAATGTTGAAGAACTTGAGCATTTCTAAAGGAGGGAAATCGAAAATGAAACTATCATTCAAAGAGTTGTTGAACAAGACCAAGTAATTTAATGAGCATAGAACAAAAATGGGTTTCACAGTTGGTTTGATATTGCAACTTGAGAGTTCAAGATGGTGTAGCCTGGTGAGGGTTTTTTTTTTCTTTAGGAGATGCCAGTCAGTGATCGAACTTGTGTCTTGAAGTTTACAAGCACTAAAGTAAACCACGAAAGCACGACGTAGCTGGCTAGGTTTTAAAGCCATAAGGGAGAATCAATAGATTGTTATGCATGAGGTCTAGAATTTAAGAGGTTTCAAAACTCTCAAAGTTTAGGCTCAATGGTGAAATAGGTCATGTGACACAGTGGCATACATCCGTCTACTTATTTAACAATTTAAGGTGACATTGCTCTATTTTAAACACTTCTAGAAAAACACTATTCCTCTTAAAAGGTAAATTTTCAAAAAACTTTCAAAACATTTTTCCTTTAACCCATTATTTTTAAAACTTTTAAAACTTTTAAAAAGTAATTAAGACAACAGACCATTGAAAAGCCTATCACTTGTCAAGAACCATTTGGTTTAATAGTATTTCACACTCCTTTAAAAAGAGGAGGTTGTGGGTTCTATCTCCAAATAACCTAAACAAATATTATTAGGCATATATGGTGTGGGTGTTATGTGCTTGTATGTGGTGTGGGTGTGTTTGCATGTATGTGCCTCCTCCTTATGGGGAAGGGGTAGTTTGGATAATAAAAAAAAAAAGAAAAGAAAAGAAAGTATATCATTATAATTTATTTTAACTTGCTCGATTTTAAGTATAAATGTATCTAAAATCAAGTCATGAATTATGGAAACAAGTCCATCTAGGACCTGTCACCATAATAAGGCATGATTTTTTTTCCTTAAAAAATAATCTCATTATGGTGACAGTTGCTCAGAGCAACTGTCCCCTTAATGGTTCCAGAATTTTAAAACACTTCCCTCAACTTCACTCTTAACTTGTGCATCAAATTCATCATCTCCCTTATCCTCACCTTACCCTTATAGTTGCTCCTTCCCTTGGCTGTTCACTTCACCATCAACTCTTCACTCCATGTTTCTCCCTTAGCTCCACCTCCACAATTCGTGCCTCCGGTTCATTGCAAGCTTTGCCTCCAGCTTGTGTCACTCTACCACTCCAACTTGTCTCTCCCATTGGTAGGTATTAATTTCTAGGATAATAAGCAAATAGGATCGTAAACTATTAGTCAAAAATCGCCTTGAATCCTGAATTTTTAAAATATGCAAAATAAACTCTAAACATTTAAATTCAAAGCAAAATAAACTATAACCATTAACTTTTTAACATCGTTACTGTCCACATGGGTACTGTAATAGTCAGAGTTAAATTCATAGAAAAACTCTAAATAGTACCTGCATGGACAGTAATTATATTAAAAAGTTAACGGTTAGGTTTATTTTGTTATGAATTTAAAAGTTTAGAGTTTATTTTATATATTTTAAGAGTTCAGGGTTCAGAGCGATTTTCGAGCAAAAATTTAGGGTCCTATTACTACCATGTTATTTTTACTTACTACCTTTTGCATTTCAATAAATCCATCCACATTAACAACCATTAAAGCCAATCATCTCGAGCTATCTGGAATCGAGTTGAGCTTTGAACATAGAAATTCTTTTGAGTGTTGAAGTTTCTAATTAATATATAAAGAAAATTAAAAATGTCTATCATGTTAATTATGAAATATTAAAAAATTATAATTTTTTGGTATCTCGTTAGTAACCTGATGAACTAACATTCTCAACCAAAAATAAAATTTTGTTGCTACTGTTTGCACCTCCTCAGGAAAAGGAAATGGTATAAAAACATTAACATTCATAACTTCTTCAACCATCATCTTCACCTGATTATCTTGTATCTTATGGCAGTTATCTTGTATTATAGCTAACTTCATATTAGTATTAAATATTCTTATATAAATCTTTTACTTGAGTTTCCCAAAACATAACAACATGATATCGTCTTCAGCTTCGAGCATGTTCAGCGCAGTAAAAGGCTTCATCAAGAGTATCTGAAATGCATCGTATGGATTGGCTTCCAGACCAGCCATCAAAAGCAAGGCAAAATCACACTCATTATGCTTTCCCGAAGAAACTGGAATCAATGGTGTTAGGGAGTCCATTGATTCATAGTTTTAAGTGTACGTGCAGGATTCATACCTTTGGTGAATTTGGTTTGATCTGTTTTCGACAATGTAACCTTTGCATTTGAAAAATGACAACAGAGTCGAGTCAGATAAGTTACTCAGCAGTGACCCTCTATGCATTTAAGCTGCAAATCTAATGTAACATCCTTGCTTGATGTTAAATAACCAGTGAACCATAATTTTCAGTACATGTAAAAAGGATAAGAGAACTTGGCTGAGACTCAGAAGTCAGAAGACAGAATACATTGATATTAACCTCAAAGTGAACCAAAAAAAAAAAAAAAAGGCTAACTTACAAATTAATGTATGTATTACATTCACTATGACTAGCTAGACAACAATAAAGTATTATTTCTTCGTTGTTCTGAATCAGTGGGATGAAGATGATACATGACTTTCTATTTCTCTTTTTTTTTTCCTTGTTTATTCCAATCCATAAGGAACAATTCATTTCTATTCCCTCGATGACTCACAAAAGTTCCTCGATCTTGTCTCCTAACATGCTAAAGAAACAAAAGCACTTTATCAGGAAGTCAAGTTAGGTCACTTGATTTCACAGACTGTAAATAGGCCCTGATAGAAGAGAAGAAAAATACAACGCCACAAAATTGCACCCTGGGTGGTGGATTAGAGCCACAATAAATAGAATTGACCAAAAAACTAACCCAGATGCATGCCTATGGTACGTTACACTTTCGTATGAAGCCAGACAAGTAATTATCATGATGAGGATGCACCAGATCCGGTGTTCCAACCAAGACCATGACCTAAGCCCAGAGGAACACTCTCATTTTTTGTTTTGCCATTGTGGCAACAACGAGAGCAATGAGCATGACAATTGCCATGACTGAGATGAGCACGAGCATGGTGCGAATTAGAGCTGGCGCTTCTGGAACCAACATTAATGACAGTATGGCCGTTGCTCTTTGCAATGTAAGAATGTGAGTCTCCGTTGGCTAGGCTTGAGATCCTTGAGATGTTTATCATTCCTATACCCTCAGAGTTATCCGATTCTTCAATTAACTGCACATCTTCATTGGATCCATTGATGAAGAAATCTGTACAATTCTTCTTGATCCCATGATCATATGGATTTCTGAACCTACCGCCCGCACCTCTAAGGTAGCTATATCGCACTGCGTTTGCCATTTCATTTGTTGTAATATTTTGTGATATCTGCAGGAAGCAAAAGATAATACATGTAAAAATAAACTCAAGAGGACAGCGAGATCAATCCCTTTGCGTTTACATAAATGAGAAAAGCATACATACAAGATGTTTTAAAATAAGAATTGAATTATAGCATCATGAGCAGGAATTTACAAGTATTATTCTTTGTTTTTTGATTAAGGTACTTCCTTGTGGATCCTTGATCACATGGTTCGTATTAATCAACATCAAACCACATCAAATTCATAGAGAAGGAAACAAAGCTGCAGCAACTTTTAACCAAGCTTCAGACTCAAAGTCTCCGAAGAATAATATTATGCAAGGTTATGAGAACTCAAAAGCTTTGTTTTTCAAAATTTTTAGATCCCCAGTGATATGACATTGATTTAAGTCAAACTACAGACAATTACAATCGAGACTGCAAAGCTACTGCAACTTGCACCAACAGTGATTAACAAACAGAATGTGAACAAGGGAAATTGAAATTTGTGATGAACAATATGGTTCCACAAAATCAGTGGCTTTCCACAGGTATGCCAGCATTCTTAATCTACACATAATACTGAATGAGACTTCAATACATACCTGATTAGCTTGGACAACTGTCATGAATAACACATTAAAGAAGAGGAAAAAATCAACAGCTAGAAATGATGTAGCCCCCACAAGATGTGTAAATGCAAATTGAATCCGTGCACCAAATGATGAAGGAGCAAGTGGATCAGTTAATATTCCTGTACACAAAAAATGAGTTCCCATTGGTAACTTAAACCAAAAAAGAATGAGGAATAAAAAGGAAGTTATCACAAGTCAAAGTTTCACAAACTCGTAAGAGTAACTCCACCAGTGATCAACATTGCTAAAACTTCAAGAACGAGAAAAACAAAGAATTCCCATTTGTTCCGCTGCATATTAAAAAAATTGCAGAGAACTAAATTAAAAAAAAAATTGCAAAACCAGGAAATCGGAAATGAAGAAGAGAAGTTGGCATTTCATTAGATAGTATTAGGATTAGTAACCATTCACCTCGATACCTTTACAAGAAGGATTGAGATAAGACTGACAGTCCAAACTAACTTTCCAAAGTGATTTCGTATATCATGTTTAGTCACAGAAAATCTCATATAGACCTTCTCAGGGGAGAAAAAAAACTATATTTATAACTTTCAACTACATTTTCACTCACAAGCTCAATCAATTCTCCCAAAATCGACAAATAAAAACTGCTACTAAATCCACCACCAAATAAAAATGTATAAAAAAGGATTTTTTCCCCCTCTTAGAGTAGCAAGGTGAATTTATTAATAAGAGGCATAGTTTATAATGTATACTTGAGGTACCACAGTGAAATCATAATCATTGGTACTTTTATATAGCATGCCATGGCTCCTAGCACCGGGCTACATTTGTAGTTTTTCAACTTTCATTAGCCTGCATTATTGCTATGCAACAAGAGCTATTTTGTGCAGCTGCAGTTTGCATACATAAAAATAGAGCACCAACAACCCAAAGTTAAGTGATTTTGCGGAGGCTACCAAGAGATTTAATCAAACCATCCCTGTACAACCAAAATTAAATGATTCAGAGTAAATGAAGTAAGGGTTTGAGGTGATTTAATTCTCATGATACCATTAACAAATAGCAGAGTGGTCAATGACATCATTCCTTCCAATTCTCTTGATATGGTTAATGATCCAACAAATCTCGTAAAAGGTACTTCAGGGATTGCCTAATAATGATCTTTATGACGATGTTGCATTTGAAGGAGAGGAATCAATTTAGATATCTTATGATGAAGCATAGGCTCAAACTTTCATGAGCATAGATTCATTTTACAATTTAAGTGTTTGACGTTAAGATTGTCTTAAATGTAGGTTGATTTTCCAAATATTCAGTCATCAACTATATTTTGAATCATCTTAAGTTGTTGCTTTTAATTACTGGCGGTGAAATGGTGCATAAAAAATAATTTGTTGTCCTTGCTAGACACAACATTTCAGACAAATTACCCTAGCACTTATTTTAAATTGTTTTAAATGTCTAACACTATTTTTTTTTCTTTTTTGACCATTCCCCCTTTAAATCAAATCAAAATGAAAAGAATAATTTAAGGTTAAAGAAGTTCAAATAGTACATGTCAAACAAATTGCCCAAGCACTTATTTAGAAAATACCTTGCCGATGCAATTAGATACCCAAGGACAATGATGATCAAATTGTTCCACACAACGATTACAGGTAGAACAGTGCTTTGCACGAAGGGGCCTGACAATCTAAAGGAAAAAACATTAAAATGCGCATGAGTCGTATAAAGCAAGAGAAAGATGAGCATGTGCATTTGAGTGTGTGCAAGTCAGAGATTGCTGGAGAATAATTCTTCATAGTAAGAGGTCTGACAATCTAAATAAAGCAGAGAGAACCTTGCATGTTGCACAAAGATGGGACCAATTTCCAGCAAGCAATGCAGGATGATTTATCTCAATCTTTAAGAGAGGTTCCTGCCACAAATTATTTGTAATACATAATTGATAGTGTATACTAGATCTTTATAGTACTCGAACATAAAACAAAAGAAGAAGAAAATGATAATTTCTGGGAGAAAATGAAATCTAAATAGAAATTCAAAAGAAAAGAAAAATACTCACATCATCTTTGTTATTCTCAGAGTCATGCACGTTCATTCTGATGAAACCGGGATCTTTGCTGCTAAAAGACAAGAGAAAGCAAATGAAGTATAATAATAAGGCAATTGAACACTAATAAATCTCTCAGTCCCAGGATTTTTTTTTTTTTTCATCGAGGATAACATGCAAGCAAAAAAATTCACATTTACCCTAAACTGCTTCATAGAGGATAATCCCTTTTTTTACAGGGCCAACACATGGAGAATAACCTTTGACAATGCATAATTGCATGAAGGTTGAAACAGATATACCATTAGCAATATATTAATAAGAAATACCAATCATCTGACTTTTCCCAACCCTCTCAAATTAACAAGTCTGTCAGACAGATATGTAGAAAACATCATTTCCATTTAACTTTTATGATTCACAGTTCCACACTGCGTAGTGAAAATATTTCCTAACTATACTTCGAGTTGTACTTTTTGTGAGTTGTGTGAGTAGCTGCATGATAAAATTCAGTTCTCCCAAACAACTAAAATACTACTTCACAATAATAACAAATGACATGGAGAACCCACTACTGAAACGAGATCCTCCTTTTTCAATTGAAACAACATTGTTTCCTTAAGCAACATGGCACAGAAACCGAATGAACAACAAGCAATTCTTATTCTTTCAAGTCTGCCTCTTTCACAGCCACAAGGGTCCTATTTTTAATCCTAGAATTCGTGAAACTGAACCATACAAATTTAAAAGGGGGTTACAGAAATTAAGGGGCGGTTACAAAGAGTTTATGATGCTCCATTTGTGTGTCTCCCGTTTTCTGCTTCATTATGTGTGTGCCTTCCGTTTCAGCTCGTTTCTGCTCTTTCCGTTTCATCCTCCTCGGGTTGGGAAGAACTCGCCCTCGAGTCAAATTCATCATCTTCATCAACATATGGAGATAAATCAGCGACATTGAAGGTGGCAGATACACCATAAGAACCAGGTAATTCCACCTTGTAAGCATTGTTGTTGATCCTTTGCACTATCTTGAACGGACCATCAGCTCTTGGAGACAACTTGGTGTTTGGCTGTTTAGGAAATCATTCCTTTCGTAGATGTATCCAAACCAAATCTCCTACCTTAAAAGTCTACTGTCTTCGATGCTTGTCACATTGAGCTTTGTATCTCAAATTCTGCTTTTGGATTCGCTCGCGGACTTGCTCATGCAACTTCTTAATTTCCTTAGCCCTTTGGTCAGCATCAAAGCTGTATTGCTGCTTATCAAGTGAAGGGCTCAAGTCTAGTGGACTAAGGGGACGAGTGCCATAAACAACTTCAAATGGACACTTCCCAGTTGCTTGATTGACAGAGTTATTATAAGCAAACTCAACTTGAGCAAGAATAAGATCCCACTGCTTCAAATTCTTCCCCACAAACTGCGAAGAAGATTACCAAGAATTCTATTTATAGCTTCAGTTTGACCATCTGTCTAGGGATGACTAGCGCTGCTAAATTGGAGCTTAGTTCCCATCTTCTTCCATAGCATCTACCAAAAGTGGCTAAGAAACTTCACATCACGGTTAGAAGTGATAGTTTTAGGAATGCCATGAAGACGCACAATCTCCTTAAAGTACAAGTCTGCTACTTGAACAGCATCATTGGTCTTCTGCCATGGGATGAAATGGACCATTTTTTAGAAACGATCCACAACTACCATGATAGAATCTTTTTGCCTTTGAGTCCGTGGTAAACCTAGAACAAAATCCATAGTTATATCTTCCCACGGTGCTTCTGGAATTGGCAGAGGCATGTATAGTCCGGTATTCTGACTCTTGGATTTAGCCAAGTGACAAATTCTGCATCTTTGTATATGCCTGTTGACATCCCGTTCAAGTCGAGGCCAGTAAAAGTTCTCCTTCACCAGATCAACTGTTTTATCCCATCCAAAATGTCCAGCTAATCCACCATCATGTGCTTCCCAAATTATGGCTTCTCTTGAGGAACCCCGTGGCATACAGAGGGTTTTACCTCGAAATAAAAACCATCATGCCTATAAAACTGGTGGAAAGATTGATTTACGGTTGCTTCCCACACTCCTTGGAAATCAGGATCATCCTGATACAACTCTTTGATAAGGTCAAATCCAACAACCTTGGTTTGCAGTGTTGTAAGTAGCACATGGCGACTACTAAGGGCATCAGCTACGGAGTTCAGAGTTCCAGCCTTATGTTTGATAAGGAATGGATAAGACTGTAAGAGTTCACTCCAACGAGCATGTCTGCGGCTGATCTTCTGCTGGGAATTCAAATACTTGAGAGCCTCATGATCCGAAAAAGGTATGAACTCTTTATTTAGGAGATAATGACTCCAATATTGAAGAGCTCGGACAATGGCATAGAATTCCTTGTCATAGGTAGAATATCTGAGCTTGGCATCATTGAGCTTCTCACTAAAAAAGGCAATGGGATGGCCCTCCTGGCTTAAGACAGCACCAATGTCAGTGTTAGAAGCATCACAGCTAACTTCAAATACTTGGTCAAAATTAGGAAGAGCTAGGACTGGAGCTTCGGTCAACTTCTTCTTAAGCTCCTCAAAGCTTTTCTGAGCTTACTCTGTCCACTGAAACTTCTCTCCTTTGGTGCAGTCTGTAAGTGGTGCGGCAATTGAGCTAAAATTACAGATGAACCTCCTGTAGAAAGAAGCTAATCCGTGGAAGCTTCGAACCTCCTGGATAGATTTTGGAATTGGCCAGCTGTCAATGGCTGCAACTTTGCTTGGATCAACGCGAACACCTTCCGCGGTAATGATGTAACCCAAGAACACAACTTCGTTGGTGAGGAAGGTGCACTTCTTGAGATTTGCATAAAGCTTCTGCTCACGCAAGGCTTGCAAAACTTGTCGCAAGTGATCTAAATGCTCTTCTTGATTCTTACTGTAAATAAGAATATCGTCAAAGTACACAACAACAAATTTACCAATGAAGGGTCTCAATACCTGATTCATCAAGCGCATAAATGTGCTAGGGGCATTTGTTAACCCAAAAGGCATCACATTCCACTTGTACAAGCCATCTCTGGTCTTGAAAGCGGTCTTCCACTCATCTTCTGGCCGAATTCTGATTTGATGGTACCCACTACGAAGGTCAATTTTGGAGAAAGTAGTGGCACCATGCAATTGGTCCAGCATATCATCAAGCCGAGGTATCGAAAACCGATACTTAATAGTGATCTTGTTGACGGCTCGACAGTCAATGCACATTCTCCAACTTCCATCCTTCTTAGGTACTAGAAGAACAAGTACAGCACAAGAGCTGATACTTTCTCGAACTAACCCTTTCTTCAACAACTCTTCAACTTGCCGTTGGACTTCGGCATGTTCCTGGGGACTCATCCTATAAGCAGGCTTATTAGGAATGACTGCTCCTGGAACGAAGTCAATGGCATGCTGTATGTCTCGCATTGGAGGCAACCCTGGTGGTATCTCATCGGATATTACATCTGGAAATTCTGACAATAACAGAATGACTCCAGGTGGATTGGCCGTCTCGTCGTTCACCTCAAGCACCAGAATAATACTCATCATTTGGGCTTCGGATTTTGACACCTTGAATTCCTCCTTAGTCAACAAAGACACTAACGGCTTAGAAACACTAGATTCCCTTGAAGATTGGTTAATCTCATTGGGTGGTAGAGGCGCTAGTGTGAACTTGACACCATCTTTCGTAAAAGAATAAGTGTTCGCTCGCCCGTTGTGCATAGCATGTCGGTCATATTGCCATGGCCTCCCCAAGAGAAGGTGGCATGCATCCATAGGAACAACATCACATAAAACTTCATCACAATATCGATTCCCAATAGAAAAGGTCACAAGGTATTGTTTAGAAACTTTTACCTCATTCCCTTTATTGAGCCAGTGAAGCTTGTAAGGTTGCGGATGATCTTGTGTTGGCAACTTCAATTTCTCCACCATGTAGTCAGATACTACATTTTCACAGCTTCCACTGTCAATGATAACATTGCAAACTTTTCCTTGGGCCGTGCAACGAGTGTGAAAAATGTTGCATCGTAGCCAAGGTTCTTCTTTGACTATTGTTGTATGCAGGCTTCTTCTAAGCACCAATGCTTCTCCTTGATCAGCAGGTGTGACCCCTCGTCATATACGGGATCAGTGCCGTAGAACTCATCGTCCTCCTCATCTTCTTCAAGTGCTTCATACCCTGATCCTTCTCGAATGGTGACAACGCTTCGTGTAGGACAGTCCGCAGCAATGTGGCCAAATCCTTGGCATTTAAAGCATTTGATTGCTTTAGAACCAGATTCGTTGGCAGCATTGGATAGTGGTTTGCGCATAGCAGTAGGTTGTGGCTTGCTTGAGGAGTTGGTCTGCTGAAATTCTGCTTTACAGCCTTCTGGATAACTCCTAGAGGATGAAGGTTGGAAAGTGGATCTCTTGGGCATCTGCTTCTCAACACGCACGGCCAGACGGATGACATCATCCAAGGTCCAATATTGTTGAAGCTAGACTGGACGACTGATATCTGTGTTTAAGCCTGCAAGGTACCGAGCTATTGTTTGCTCCTCCTTCTCCTGAATATCACACTTCATCATGAGTTGTTCAAACTCTCTAGTAATTCTTCTACAGATAAAGATCTCTGTCGAAGATTTTGCAACTGGATAAAATTATCCTGGTGGTAATGATCTGGTAAAAATTTTCTGGTGAGCTGGCGTTTCATTTTCTCCTAGGTTTCAATCTTGCGCTTTCCCTCACGTTCTCGCTTCCGTCTGAGGTTTTCCCACCAAATAGAAGCATGTTTCTTGAGTTTGAGGGCGACAATTTTGACTTTCTATGCATCTGGAATCTCCTTGTATTCAAATACTCGTTCAACAGTTTGCAGCCAATCTACAAACTCGTCTGGCTGGAGCCTTCCCTCGAATTCAGGAATGTCAACCTTGATGTCATTAGGGCGGAATTGTTGTTGTCGTGGGCGGCGGCGGTTGTCAGTAGATGACGAACTACTGCTTCCCGAATCTCTCTCTAAGTTTTCTCTGTTGTTGTTTAACAGAGTTTGCTGCAATTCCACAGTGGCTTCCAATTCTCGTATCCTACGTCTCAACTCTTCCATCTCAACCTCGTGCACATGTCTACGTCTTGGAGGCATTTTGGATAAGTGTCAAGGCTAGGGATAAAGATTGGGGTGCGATTGAAAACGTTGAAGGATATAGGGGTAAAGTGAAATTTTTTTCAAAAGGCTAGGGGCAAAATGGGGATTTTGGACTGTCTAGGGGGTAAAATAGCGATTCTAGAAGAATGATGGGTCAAATTGAAATTTATGAAAAATATAAGGGTTAAAATGGAATTCAGGTAAAATCAAGGGGCCAAAGTGTAATTTCAGGAAAGTTTAGGGGTTAAAATGGCATTTCGGAAAAATTTGGGGGTCAATATGAAATTTCATAAAAAATAGGGGCAAATTTGGAATTACTGAAAGATTTAGGGCGAAAATGTAATTTCTGAAAAGTTGGCTAACTGGGTATAGTGACATGGCGACTGTGACACGTGGCAGCAAACTACTGGGCTGACATGTCGTTGACCGGTCAGAATGCTGACGTGGCAGCTGACGTCAGCGTCTTCAACCTTAAGATGGCGCGTGAAAGCGCGTGGACCGGCGGCGAGGCGCGTGGTCTTCCGACGGTGACGCGTGGCGGCGCGTGCGTTGGTTTCTGGTGACGGGAAACCTCTTGTTCCACGTTTTCGGACCTCCTGAGCACGATGGTGATGTTAGTTTTCTGAGAAAATGCCTGGTTTGTAAAACGCGAAGACGTCAGGGACTCCTCCTCTGAATCTCTCTTCTTTCCGGTGTACTTTCTCAACTGTAACTCACTCTCTCGCTCTTTGGACCAGCTCTGATACCCAAATGGCACAGAAACCGAATGAACAACAAGCAATTCTTATTCTTTCAAGTCTGCCTCTTTCACAGCCACAAGGGTCCTATTTATAGTCTTAGAATTCGTGAAACTGAACCATACAAATTTAAAGGGGGGTTACAGAAATTAAGGGGCGGTTACAAAGAGTTTATGATGCTCCATTATGTGTGTCTCCCGTTTTCTGCTTCATTATGTGTGTGCCTTCTGTTTCAGCTCGTTTCTGCTCGTTCCATTTCATTCTGCTCTTTCCGTTTCACAACACCAGGCCCTCATGACATGAGTCAAGACTGCGGCGCAGTGAAGAAAACCTCATTTGTCGAAACAACTCTTTTCAATTGATCGCTGTGCATCAATTTCCCAATCCACGATAGGGCCAATAGGTTTGCAATTTTAAAGGGGAAAAAAATAAATAAGTCCTACGTAAAAAATCATAGAAGCATGTTCTTCACAAAAATCCCAGTTCAATATTGATGGCCCTCCTGCCAAGAAACAGGGCCAAGTTTACAAGAGCCCGGACCAGAATAGTCAGGGCTCTGCAGTACAAAGGAAGAGGGCACGATGGGAATAATACTGGGTAACGAATGTACTGACTTGTCAGATAGTGGTAGCACGTAAAAGGGCTGTAGGGAGTGGGTGCAGATAGGCAAGAGTTTTCTTTTGTGAGGAGAGGACATAGTCTCTTGAAAACCAGGCTATGAGGGTTGTTTCCTTGTCTTTGAGAGTTCGTCTTATCCTGTTGAGTGTGAGAGACATTCCGTAGAGTGATTAGTGTGTGTATTCTTCTACATTTTCCCATCGTAATAGAGGAATACTATCAAATTTCTTCTCTATTCTATTGTTTTATTTGCAGGTTCTATCAAATATTTACAAATTTCAGCCAAAAGCAATGCTCATTTGTCCTTTGCATCGCATTTTGCCATTGTACGTTTGGTTTGGCACAAAAGCAATTAAATCAGAATTTGGACGTGGTAGATCATAAGCGGTTTTTAATTTTTGCTCTTATTGTCAGCTATGGATCCAAACAAACAAACAAACAACAACAACAACAAGCCTTGGGATCACCAATGAATCTCTTGAAATAATGTTAAATGTAATTGTTGCCCAAAATAATGAAGGGAGGGGCACGCAGGATGAAAAACAATCCAGCCAGAACACACGAGGAAATGATGATATTATTATGCTTGAATGATAAAGAAAGTCAAGAAAATAAGATGCAAAAGAAGGGATCCAAGACAAAGGAAGTGGGAGATGTGCCTCCGTCTCCTCTAAGCCTAATAATATAAAGCAACTAACAATTAATGAAATGTTGAAGGATAGAGATCTAACAGTTAGGGATATTGTATATGATTATATGGAAATGTGTGGCCATTTAATTTGGCGAAGAGCCCCTATTTAAATATTGTGAAATATACCAGTGAAAACAGTAGGGTTTGGAAATCATCACTCATCATGAGATGTCTCATTTTTTTAAGGAAGAAGTTGATCTTGTCCATGATAATTTGGAGGCCCAAGTAACAGGAGGAAGATAGGTAACATTAATTGCACTAGCAATCTTAAACATGTTTTTTCTGATTTTTAAAGTTTTCATATTAATTACTCATTGTAATTACATGTCTACATATAGGTCCATGAAATCTTATTTCGAACAAGAAAGAAAAAGGAAAAGGAATTTACATGCAAGTTAATGTTGAAAAAGAAATCAACGATGATGGTTATCGACGTAACGAAAAGGATGGCAGAATTGTCTTCTTGAAGATGGCAACAATAGGGATGACATCAGCCACAACTAATAGGAAAATGACTAATTTTGCACAACTTTTTAATTCGAGAACTTGTGTTAGTTATCAATTAGATAATTATTGGGTTATTATTATTATTGCAAGTGATTTTGTATTCTGAGTCTTATAATTTAAAATTTTCTGGTTCCCTCTTTGAAATTATTATTTGAGCACATTTTGATGGTATAAATTTCTGTAAAATACAATTCAAATTATTTTTGTCTCTAGACAACATAGTTCAACACAGTTTATAATTCATGATTGAAAAAATTAGCCTCCCAGTATACAGTTTGAATGGTTATTCAACTACGATGCTTGTGAGAACTGATTGTTTTTAAACCCAGTTTACCTACCTGCTACACCTGTAAAACATGAATGATCCAGCAGTTGCAAGGAAAACTCCAAGCCATGCAAGAAGACCAGAGGCAGCTGTTCGTTTTGGCAGATTTGTTGCTGTAGAAATTGTAAGAATAAAAATTAGAAGAAACATGTAACCCAAAAAAAAAAAAATAGAAGAAACATAACAAAAAAGTACTATTATTATTACAAAAATTGTCGAAGAAATACAGGCAAGATAGATACCCAAGATGACCGAGTGAATATAGGTGACCAGGAGCACAAAAATAATACACCAAAGTACAGGAGCAAGTCCTAATTTGGAGACTTTTCCAAGGCGGCTATTACCATCATAGCGCCTACCAAGCAACCTTCTGGCATTACCCTATAGAACATATTTAGCATCACAATAAAACCTCCTATTCATTCTTGTTCCGAAAAACAAACCTCAGCAAGGGGAAATGCTCAGCAACTGTGGCATCAGTACAAATGGCGGCAATATTGGAAAAGAATTTTATATCTTCAGATGCATCTTACTTTAATGAAGTATAACCAGGTTCATTCATTTAGGAAAAAATAACGGACGAGAGAAAAAAACAATAAAAAGACATAATCATAAGGTACCTCCCTCTTTCAAACATACCAAGTACATCTCTTACTCCAAACAATTACACCCACACAAAATAGGCAAGAGATTCTTATAATGGTACATGACCTTATTATCAGCCACTACGCAGTACTTAGTGAGAAGGCAGTTTTTGGACTTTCAGCAATTTACATATTTTTCAGAATGAAATGACCATTGCATGTTGCAAAGGTTGCTCAGTTGTGCCATTGGGAATTTTGTGGACAAAACAGCTTTGTAAGTGATTGATTAAGATCTCAAGGTGCTTTTGCACATGATAGGCATTACTCGCTCATTTATCCAAACATTCTCTGAATGATAAAAGTAAAAATACGTCATTGGTATTGCTGGAAGTTTTAGCAAAAATAAGTAAACATTCATAAGATAATCCAAATGTGAATATGCAATATTATCATCACTCCTGTGATTCAAATATCCCATATGTAATATGGAAGAGTAAAAAAAATCGCATCAATAACACCAGACAGAAAAAATATGCATCTCCAGGATAACAATGTGAATACTGACTGTTTTCATCAGCACACTTAAGAGCTCCACATAAGCACCTCAAATACAAAATGCTAAATATGCACCCTAAGATCTGAACAAACAGTGCCATGTATAATTAGGCAGAGTTCTATATGTTCACATGAAGAATACAGTATATCTAAAAACACATCTACAGACACATCCTCAAATTATAAGAACAGACTATAAAAAGAAAGGGTGTCCAAGTTCCCTAGAAGATATTCAAATGAAGTTATGAAAAATTTTCCCAATACATATCTATTCAAAAGTTATGACTTTGCAAAGAGAAAAAAGGGAATTGATGAGCACATAATCGTTTTCATCAATTTGTACTTAGACATTCTTTATAAAACAACTACCAGTAACAAAGGAAAAATAAGCCCCAAAAAACTCAATCAGCAAGAAACAAAAGAGGGTAATTTAAATGAATAAACAAATAGACAAATAGACAAATATTTTAATTATAAAACACCTACGAGGAAGAAAGCAACTTGTCTATGATTCTTATCAGAAGCAAGCTGTGCAGGAGTAAGGCCAGTATTATCAGAAACAACGAGGTCCTCTTTCTTGCCAGCCCATACTAGCACAGTACATGCCTCCAAATTACCCCTGAAAGCAGCCCAATGGAGAGGAGTGCGACCTGAGTAAAATTACAGGAAATAAAAATTACTAAAAAGCTTCAAAAATAAAGAATAGATTCACCCCATATAAATATCAATGCTTATACTATTTTAGAACAACAATATACAGGAGGAAATTCAGATTAGAGCATTAAACTTGCCCTCATTGTCCTGCCGCCCCCTATGTGCATCTAGGAAAATCAGAAGACGAATGCAATCACCAAAGCCTTTGTATGCAGCCCTGATATTCAAACCAAAAAGGAAGGAGTTTTCTCAACGTCTTAATCTGTGAAACAACCATTTTAGTTAAGCAGAGCATTCAAAATGTAGGGACAGGATTTCTTTCGTTTTCCTTTTATCCTTTGGGCATTCAGGTGAAACCGGTTAAGAAAAATTAAATTTATCATAACAAAGAAATAAAGATGTGTAAAATCAAACCAAAAAGCCACCTCCAAATTTTAAGAAGAAGTGAACATGTAGTAAGGAAAAAACAATGTTCAACTATTTAAATACAAAATAAATTCTGTATGCTACCTTTGGGTGACACACCTAGGATCTAATTTGAACATTTCTTTCATAATGGACAATATTACAAAACAGAAGTAAATTACATCACATTCATTAATGAACACAACCAGCAAGCTTATTCAATGTAGTAAAAAATGAATATATATATATATATATATATATATGTATGTATGTATGTATGTATATAAAAAGAAATTAAAAAAATAAAGCATAAGTGACCATTCATTTTCAATTTAAAAGTTTCTAGAAATACTAACATTCTGAGTACTTGTTATCATTTTTTAAATTAAACTTGCTACCTGTAGCAAAAAACACGTTTCATAATCAGACTCATCATTCACTAAACATCATTCCATGCACATTAAATGTGCTTCTAATATATTCAATTTAATGCATCACTTTAAGCCGCTCACTTAAATCAAGTGATCCATTAATCCACATAAGCTCCACCAAAGATTTGACACAACTTAATAATGTGATCAACTCCTTCATACATATTCATTAGATTTAAATTTTCTACACAATTGTTGTAGTCACTATTCTGCCTTTCTTCCCAGCTTTTACAACTGAGAGAACCATGCAATGCGTAATACCCAAAAATTAACAGTTTCCAGGGAGATTGGAAGTATTAGGACAGAAAGCTACAGGCAATTCTCTAGTTTATGCCTGACGGTGGCACACCACATTTAACTTCGAATTGTAACACTATATGATTCCCTTAATTCTATCAGAAATATATTCATCGAGAGTTCAAACCAAATTTTATGTTAAAAGAAGGTATTTGACGGATTCAAAACTTACTAAACGCAAAAACAGGCTATTTTCGAAAGAGAAGTATGCAACATATAGGGGGGGATACCTTTTCAATCAGTGAATCATAACAATAGAAAAAGTGGGTGAATATAATTCTGAATTACCAATGCAATTGGCTTCTTCCATAATTATCAGGAACATCAGGGTCAGCATTCCATTTTGAAACAATGTGGTAGAGCAAAGCTGTCTGACCGAATTGAGCTGCAACATGCGTTGTCTGTGAAAAGTTTAATATATTTACTTATTTAGTAGAACCGCCATTCTACAGAAATACTTGTGCTCCAGGCGAAAATAAATTAGGGACATCCAATTTTAGCTTGTGCAAGTATATTTACATCACTTTGCAGTTATTGATAGATGGAATGAATATTTTATGGAATAAATATTAAAATGTATATTGCTAGTTCTATGAAACAAATAATTGCTCGTATCAGCATAGTGACTAACTTAATTGTCACTTACAATGCGTCCAATAGACTTCCCGCACTACCACCTAACAATTTATTACGTGAGATTCTCAACGTTATTTTGAATGATAAAAAGGGAACAAATAAAACTAACCTGATACCCATTCATATCAGCAGCACTAGCTCGTGCACCTTCTTGGAGCAAAAGCTCTGCAACCTGGATGGCACCATTTACTGCACTCCAATGTAATGCTGTCTGGCCGGCATGATCTGTTGCGTTCACATCTGCTCCATGCTGGCAATCAATACATCAAATATATTTTGAGCTGATTTTAAAACCACAAATTAGTTTCACATATTGCATAGATGGATTGAAAGTAACATTCCCCATCATGGAAAATATGGATAATACACTTAATAGCATCAATGTATAAGTGATTTTACATGCTGTAAAGAGCAGATGGGTATGGATGACAGTTATGTGAAGAGAGAGATAGGCACAAAACTGTTATTTCTTTTTTGTTATAAATTGTTATATATTTATCTCTCCCCTTAAATGAACATCTAGTCGCATGAGATTACGCAAATCCCAAACAGATGACTAAGAAGCAGAGAGAAGGATAATTGTTAAAAGTTCGAGGACTGAAAACACCAGCAACAACTTCTCTTTTTGTACAAATCCTTAACTATCTTTTTTTTTTCCTCGGCCAATGTATAAATCCTTAATTATCAATCAAACTCGGTAAGTGCAGAATCCAGATGCAGTCATACTCATAAGAACATTGTACAAGCCAAATCTTCCCCATAACGATCGGGAAAAAATGTTGTCGAAATTGAAATATGCCAAAGGGAATGTGGAATACTAGGAAGCTGCAGAATGAGAAAAGCTCAAATGATAATAAATCAAACGCAATTCAACAAACCTCAATGATGTATTGAGCAGCGGCAGTATGATTGTTAAGCGCAGCCCACTGGAGGGCGTAGTATCCGAGCCCATCGGGCACCGACACGGAGCAACCCTCCTGCTCTACCAATCTATGAAGCTTGTCCAAATCCCCATAAGTCGCAGCGGTGTAGACATCGTTCCGCAAGCTTACCTCCCCCAATTCATCACCGCCGGACGCAGTGCCGGAAACCGCAGGTTGCAGATTCCGATACTGGATCTCTTCAACGACCTCGATCTCGGATGACATGTCTCTCAATCACTCTTGAATAGACCACGTCCATGCTGACTTCTTGTTTTTCGAGGGTGCCTTCAGAAGCGGACCTACGTAGAGTTGAGGATGGGCAGATAATGCCACTGAATTTCATGAAGCCGTACTGTAATCTTCTCTCTTACTATTTTTATTTTATTAAAAGACCAAAATACAAATATTTACATAAAAACGTTAAAAAGTTAAAAAGCTGTCCTCACAAGTTCTTTTTCTTTTTTTGGGCCAAAGGGAAATTACGTCCAGGTCGGGAAATAGATTTATTTATAAATAAATTTTATAAAATTTAAAAATCACAATTAAAAATGTCTTGAAATGTATAATTTAAAATTAGAGTATAAAAATAATAATATTTTTATTAAAATATATTATACTAATTAAATAATTTATAATTATTTCATTAAATTTTAACTTTTTATAATTTCAATTTTATATATACAATATTTAAATTAACCACGCATCACAAATTCAATATTAATTATACACAATTACCTTTTTAATAATTTATAATTATTATTTTAATATTTTATAATTATAATTTTACATAATTAATTATTAAACTGATCATATGTTACTAGAAAAATTTACAATTATTTATTATTACTTCATCAATAATTTATAATTTTAATTTTAACTTTTTACAAATATAATTTCACACATTCGATCAGGATAGTATTTTCTTTATCTTATAATTTTAATTTTAAATTATACTTAAATTTTAAGAGATCTTGTTGTAATTTTTAAATGTGGCAAAATTTATAAATATAGTTCAAGGGATCTAAAACCATATGACCAAAAACGGAACGGCAAAAGAGTTGAGAAGAAAATCTCCCTGTTTTCACCTTGAATTGAATGGCTGAATCACAGTTGAGCACTATTAATTCAGTGAGCTTGAAGGAGTTTGTAATCTTTTTCTTTTCTTTTGTAAAATAATTTTTTTTTATTAGCAAGGCTGTACTTTTCAATTTTTATATTGCATTGGTTGTTGTGCATATATTTTATTATCATTTTTTAATTCTTCTGCTCTTTAAAATATTTTGAAAAAAAAAAAACATACATTCACTTCTTTCTTAATATGCAATCTCTCTCTTGGCCAAAAAAAAATGCAATCTCTCTCTAACTCAAATTCCCTCCACATTTTTCAAATCATCTTCTAAATAGTATTATTTCAATTAAAACATCTTAAGTTTCGGCCAAAAAATTAAAACATCTTAAAATATTAAATTATTTTCAATTAACTACAAAAATTAGCATAAATATTTTCAGAAAAAAAGTCAGCACCAATAATGTGTACATGTGCATCGGACCGGGCATAATCTAGTTAAAGAAATAACTCAGAATTCTTGCATACACATAGTACACTATGTCATTTATGTCATTTATATACTTTCCAGTAAAAATATATTAGTCAAAGTATAAATTGATCTTGTCATTAATAATAGAAGAGAAGGGGGGGGAAATTAAAAAAGTGTTGGATTCCAAAAATAAAATCATTATTTATAATGACATATAAAATTTTATTTGATTAAATTGTTAGAATTTTAAAATTGGATAAAATATGGATGAGATAGTACTCCTTGTTCACACAAGAAATTCTCTTTTTCATATATATATATATATATATATTGATGATGATTAACAATATATTCTCTTAGTTCTTATATGTTAGAGGTTTTTTAAAATTTTTTTGTCCATAAATATAAGATATTGTTAGTATATTTTTTTAATAAATAAACCATTATACCCTTATTAGATTGAAAAGAGAAAAAGATAAATAATTTTATTAATTTATTTTGAAAGAAGAGATTTATTTTTGATTTATAATAATTAGGAACAAAATTAAAATGTTATTGTGTCTTTAATTAGATAACTAATTTTTTATTAATTTTTGTAATTTAATTAAAAATATTTTATATATAGGAACGAAGAAAATACTTCCCCTCATTTTATTTATATGTAATTTCTAACATATTTTGCTAAAATTAAGGAGAACATTAAATCTCATTATCACTATCTTAAAATTTAATAAATTTGTACCTCTACCCTCTATTTAAGACAAAAAAATTATTTTTCATAATTTAATAAGGATAAAAAGATAGAAATAAATATAAAAAAAAATAAAATACCTAATAAATAGAATCAAAATTAACCTTCAAGTAGAGGAGTAAAATATAAAAGAGAGGAGATTTTTTTAACAATAATTGTTATATTCTTATCATTATTATTTAATGAGTTTATTCAAATAACTTTTAAAATAAGGATATTGTGCCATTCTTTAATTGTGTTTATCTCATTCCTCTTCATTTTGTATATTAAAAGAATTCTGAAAAATTAGTTTTTCACTACACATTCTCACGAGACATTGATGCACGTTGCAAGGCAAAAACTCCATTCTATGTTTTAGTTATCATATATTGAAGATTTTCATTGTGGGGTCAATTTGCAGGCTAACGCACCCCTTTTATGATGTCAAATTCTGAGGAAATTGCAATGCTCATTTATTTCATAAATTTACTTTGAACTAATTTATTAATGAAAATTAAGATATTGTTTATATTATAAAAATGCATGGGTATCAATATTTTAAAAAGTGAAGGAACAATATTTGAGGATTTTGTTTCTATTATATACATATACATATATATGTGTGTGTATGAATTATGAAATTGTATTGGAATACTCCCTCATAAAAATATAAAAGTAGCTTTTAATAATAATATGTGTACCAATAAAATTTATATTCTCATAAAAATATAAACTATCTTTTCTTTTTATCCTTATTTATGATAAATGAAAAGATGGTCATAAATTTACAGACACGAGAATTTAGGTTAAAAAATATAAGGAATAAAATAAAAAAAATTGAAATGCTAAATTATTTATATTTTGAACTAAAATTAATTAGGAGAAAATGCTTATATTTTGAACTTGAAGAGCTATGTCTCATACTATTTATTGTCCATGCTTTTGATTGCATCCAGCAAATGCTCTTTCTTTAGTGGCTTGCTTAAATGAGCATCCATTCCTGCCTCTTTGATCTTATTCGTCTCCTTCCTGGAGGTGTGAGCTGTTAATGCCATGATGGGGATGTAAACTCCATAATTCCTCTCCACCTTTCTTATCCGCATTGTTGCCTCAAACCCGTCCATTACCGGCATCTGTTCAATCACACACACTTAATATATTAATATACTATTTCTATCCCTTGATGAGTGGAGAGATAGATACAGAACAGTGGACCTCGCTTTTAAGATGTGAAATCACATACAAGTGAGACCTACAGTTCAGTATATATTTATCTTTTAGATTATAGCTCATTTTTGTTTCCCAACTATTTTTGTAAGAGCACCCAAAATTATAAAGTTTATTATAGCAATGTCTTCCTTCGAGTAATTAAATCGTAACAATGCTGTCCTTGATGTTAAATGGGCAAGCATTGACAGTTAACTTCGCTAACATCAAGAACAACATTGCTACAATTTAATTGCTTCAAAGGTTACATTTTTACAACAAATAATTTAGGATATGAGACACTCTACAAAAATAATTCAGCAGCAAAAATAGACCTTAACTCTTCTTTTTTCGCTTTAGGTGAAATCACTTTAAAGAATCTCTGTTAAGTACTTCACCTCACAATCCATTATGATATAATCATAAGGCGGATGGGGAAAAGCCACCCTTAGACCCTCTTCAACGAGGTTCACTGCATCTCCACCATTCTTACATTCCACACTTGTTGCACCTAATTGTTCTAGAGTCTTCAAAGCTATCCTACGCAGAATTTCAGTGTCATCAACAACCAAAAATTTCATGCCACTCAATGGCTTGTCACTGCCTGAAGCACTGCATTCTTGTATCTCTCCATGATCAACCTGAGAATTCCTTCCTTTGGACCTACCATAAGAATCCAGTTGCTCTGTTCTCCATGAACTGTCACACTTTTGCAGCTCTACATCTAGAAATGGGGGTGCATCAATTGAGGGAACTTCGGATCTGTCGAATACAGGTGATTGATGTCTTGACACATTGTAATCTTTGAATGTTTTTCTCATTGTTTCATGGAAAATGTCTCTCCTTGCTCTTGCAGTTCTAGATATGCATGTATAATTGCCACCTAACTCAGGAAGAAGCTTGATAATGTTGAACAAACGAGTACCATGAAATGGTTTTGGACAGCACAATGTCATCTGGATCAAACAAATCTTCGTCGAGTGCTTTGAATTCAAGTCCACGCACAAGTGACTTATTTAACCAAACAACCTTACAAGGATTTCCAAGGCCACTTCTGAACTCAGATATCATTATGCAAAGTTCTGCAAAGGGTCCTGCTAATACATCAATCACAAGTAGAACCAAACCCAAGGAAACTTCATCTTCTGACTTCTTAAAAATTGAGGACATATAGTCAATTCCATCTGCAGCACTCAAAGGAAACCCTTTAGCTCTGGAATTAGAGTTATGAGGCGTAGACTGGGAACTCATATATGATGTTCCTGTAGAACTCTGGCTGGAATTGCAACCCCTTTGCTTGATCTTCTTGAGAGTGTGAGATAAATGTTCCCATTGCTTCACAACCTTAACTTTAATCCCTAATCCCTCTATGAACCTTTGGGTAGTCCTTTGACGCTCCTCATTTTGAATCAGAAGAACAACACAAGAAGCCCCAGACCTATTAGAGGCAAAAATAGGTAATCTTGGACTGGGGGAACGAATGCTAGAACCAGAACTAAGGCCATTTATATCTTGTCTCTGAGGTTGATTTAAATCATTACCTTCTCTAGTGCTACTGCTACCTGTGACTGTCTCACTTAGGGCAAGGAGGACACTGAATCTAAAGCACGTTCCCTTTTCACCAATTTCCTTGTCCACAATTCTAATATCTCCATGCATCAAATGTACCTACAAAAAGCATTTGAAAATTTAGTACTAAACTTTACTTGGAACAACTGAGAAGAAGAAAGAAGGTGCCTACCAATGATTGCACAATACCAAGTCCCAAGCCAGTGCCCTCTAGTCCGAAAGCAGTTTCGTTGACTTGAACATAATTCTCAAACACGGATGTCTGCTTCTCTTTAGGAATTCCTTTTCCAGTATCGTCCACCTCGAACACAAACTCCAAGTACTGTGGGTCTTGTTGGATTGTATTCACGGCTTCTACATCAATATTTGCTTCATTTTTCTTGCAAAATAAGCATGACAAGCGTTTCAAGAAATTGTATCTATGAGAAGAAATTATTGAGTTCTGAAAACTTGGCTTTTGAGCCCAAACTCGAACTGTTATGTGTCCCTCATCAGTAAATTTAACAGCATTACTCAGTAAATTGCACAAAACTTGTTGAAGCTTTCCTTCGTCACCTTTTACATGCGCATATTTGATAATCGAACCATCACAGTGGTCCAAAACAAGGTCTACACCTTTCTTCAAAGCCAGAGGATGGAACAAGTCAACTTTATCTTCTATGAACTGGGATAGATCAAATTCATGTTCCTCGAGCTGCATTTTCCCTGACTCAATTTTACTTGTATCAAGAATAGAATTCAATAGCCCTATAAGCATAAAATAAGTCAGTGCCTTCCTTGAAAGTTAAACCAACAATTAAAAAAAAAAAAACAGAGTTGTTCATTTCCAAGAATGAAAAAATAAATTACGAAAAGATTAATGATGATGCACAATTTGGGTGATTTGAATTAGCAATTATACCTTGCAAGTCTTTTATACAAGCACCCATTTGCTTCAGATTAGTCTCTAGTTCTGAATCAGGGACAACTTCTTCATAAGACATCTCTAACAAACCGGTAAGGCCAGCAAGAGAAGCACGAATATCATGGCTGGCCCTAGAAAATGCAAGACTCTTATTCATACTTTTCCTCTCAGCTTGCTGAGTGGCCTCCATTTGTTTGATTAGAGAGGAACACAAATGCATCTCTCGCCAACCCACCATAGCTTTTAACAATAGAAAACTGGAGATGGAGATGAATATAGTAACCATCATAGCACTCATTAGCACTAACCCCAGTTTTTTACTCTTGTGTACAAAGGCCACCAATCCATTTTGTGGTACAGCTATGACATACACCTGAAATATAATCAAAACAAGTTATATTATACACTTAAGATTTAACTTTCAAGAAATGAATAGTTTTCCTTGACCCAGCAATAAGACTCAGAGCCCAATAAACAAAATATATTGCAAATTATATATCCTATTTGATTTTGTTGAAAATAGTTTCTATCTGGATTCACTCATGAACATGTAAAATGATTGAAGCATACCAACTCTACTCCCATGGCATCAATTGATGAGCAGCTTGCCAAGTACTTAGTAGCCCCAATTTTCAAAACTGAAGCAGAGGCTTCATCCTTGCATGAAACAGTGCCTTGATAACTCATTCGGTCGCCATTATTTGATTTCACTAAATACAGGGAAGCAGTATCATTAGAGAATACCATATGGGCTCTTTGGAATCCTCGGAGAATCACTTTCCCATCTTTGGAAGCCAAATACAATAAGCTTGCACCTTGACGCTCAACAGGAGTGACAAAATCAACAATTAAAGTTGCTGCAAACCCTAACGAGATCACAGCTGTTCTTGATATTCTCACTGAATTAACAAATAAAATTTGATGATTGTTGCTCCACTCATATCCCAATGAGGCATATCCATAGGAACTATTGATTGCTTCCTGAATCCAACTTGCATCAACAGGGTGTTCATATATTCTAGCTTCACCATAAAAGTCTCCGGTGCTAGGGTTTACAGGTTGAACATACATAATTTTTGAAGCACCCGCGGGAGAAGAAAACGAAGAGTTAGAGTACAATGCAAGAGTTTGACCCTGATCGATGTAGTATGAGAAGAAGAAACCTTCCATATCAATATATGAGATTTCAGTCAAGTGAGGAATCGTCTGGAACGCTTGAAACAGCATTGGAGCCACCTAAAATAGAACAAATAAATACCCAAAAATAAAAAAGGACTGGAAGAAACCTTGAGAAATGCAAAAAAAAAAAAAGAAAAGAAAAGAAAAAGAAGGAAAAACCAACTTTGGTCTCAATGAAAGAGAAGGAGACATTAGTCTCGTTGAAGGTCGAATCTAGAAGGCGAGCTAAATTGGTCGACGAAGAATTCAGGGGACGTTTTAGTTTGGTAGAGTGGTGAAGTTGAGCTTGCAACTCTGAAAGAAGATTTTCAGAGTTTGAAGTCACGCGCTGCTCAATGCGTTTGAGCATAACATACCAGCATGGAGTCGATAGTAAGAGAGCTACGAGTCCAGCAAATGCCTGCATCATTGGAGAAATTAAATTTATTTTTGAAAAAAAGAAAGAAAAAATTTATTTTTATAAACATAATAAAATGAGTAACAAATATTTTTTTAAAAAAAGTTTACTTAAATTTATAAATTTTAGAGAAATTGATTCCATTTAAATATGGTAAAGATCACTACTTTAAAGATTAACAGTTAAGATTACAATAGAAATATAATTTGACCGTTTATAAATAAAACATTTTATTAAATATTAGTTTAATTATCGATTCATTTTGGTTTTCAATAACATGCTAAAAATAAGTTAGGGTTGGGATCATATATGCATATATATTTAAGAAATGGTTATGCATGAACTTGCCAAGAAGATTAGGAATTTTTTCTTGCAAATATTTCAGAGAGCTCGGTGCGTGCATGAGAGGAAGGAAAATAACAATGATTTACTGAGAAAATTTAAGTGACTAAAAAAATCATAAATAATTACCAGAAGAAAGAATATGACACGCCAAAGGCGGTTTAAGACCATTGTTATGTTAAAAATATGGTTGAATCTTCAGGATTTGATCAGCTACAGTATTCTCTGGTTTCCATTGGAATTTCATAAAAATAAAAATGGTGTTGATAAAGATACCAAAGTAAAGTCATTGACTATATATATATATATATATATAACTGTATGAATTCATACATCGGCAAGATAAATTAGGAGAAAAAAATCTCTCAATAAAATTGACATCATTTGATTATATATTTCCATATTGGAACCCCCCCTAATGCGCTATTAATATTTAGCATTTAATATTAATGTTAATAATTATGAATTATTCACAAACAAGAGTTGTGTTTAACGAAATCTCTTACAACATAACAAAATAATTTTTGGATCTTTGGAAAATATGCACATACTTAGTGTTTAACTAAGTCTAGATCAAAATTGTCTACCATACCGGTATTATATGTAATAAAAAATATATTAAATATTAAAAAAGCAACAAAATTATAAAATTTATAAATTTATAAACTCACAATTAAAAATAAAAATAAAAAACATGACATAGATAAAGAGACGTCTTAATATCCAAATAAAATAATATTTTTAGTTTTGGTATAGTTAAATCTTATTAATGAATAATGTGTAAGGTTGGAAGTTTAAATCAAGAGAAGATTCTCTCATCTTTCCTTTCCGATCTCTTCAATTATTTTCCTTCTTTGCACGATTTGATATGTTATAAAATTATTCATAAAATATTAAATTATAACAAAAGATAAATAATTAGATTCGTTTGCTAAAATTTAATTTAAATAGTTTAAATTGTAGTAAAACCCAAATAAAAATATATATTTTATGGAAAATCAAATCCAAAGCATCCAAAATATTAATCTTAATTGTTAAAAATGAAGAGGATAGGAAGGGAAGAAAAGAAAATCCTCCTTCCTAACAAGTATATATATATAGCAATCTAATTTGAGGGATCTACTATTTGTCCTTAATATCTCAGTGAAGAATAGAATGAATATTTTTTAACAAAATTGGATGTGCATATTAGAGCCTAAAATTAATGAATTAATCATTAATTCAAGCTTATACCTATCAATTCTATGATGTAAAAAAAAATTGTTTCAAAAAAATTAATCATTTATTAATAATTTTAACTTTTAAAGATTAACATATCCACTAAATCAAATATTAAGGGCTCAATTCAAAAAATATAAATTATAAAAATTTAATTTAAAATAAAAAAGCTAGAAGACCTGCTAATTAATTTTCTCTATTTTATTTTCCATCTTATAATATATAATGCTTGAATATTGTTCATTTTAATATTGCCAAAAGCCAACGAATCTTGTACAATTAAAAGCATATCATTCTAATTAATTCTTTGTTTTTCGGCTGAGATTGTGATTGATTATTTACGTATAGATTTATTTTTGGATTTTATATAATATATAAAAGAATTATCTAACTTTTTAATTCTAATTATGACATCAACAATTTATATATAATATAAAAATTCTTTAAAAATCTCATTATTTATTATTTTTCGCACCTATTATTTATATATAATTTTTGAAATATTTCTCAATTCTCATAGCAGGCATGAGAGGAAGGAAAATAACAATGATTCACAAGAAAATTTATGTGACAAGAAAAAAATCATAAATAATTACCAGAAGGAAGAAGATGACATGCCAAGGGCGGTTTAAGACCATAAGGTTGGATATTCAGGATTTGATCAGCTACAGTGTTCTCTGTTTTGCATTGGAATTTCATGAAAATAAAAATGGTGTTGATAGAGATACTAAAGGTAAAATCCTTGACCAAATACACACACGCACACAACTGTATGAATTCATCTATGGGCAAGATAAATTGGGAGAAAAAAATCCCTCAATAAAATTGACATTATTTAATTATAATATATTTTTCATATTGGAACCCGCTATGTGAAAATAAAAAAAAAACCAGTGAAGATGAACATACTAATATGTTATTTAAAATAATAAACGGCAATCTTAATAAATAAATAGTAAGGCTGGGATAAATTAATATGTAACATTTAATAGACTAAAGTATATTTTTAATCCTTTAATTTTATATAATATTTTAATTTAATTTCTTAATTTTATAAAGCATCTTTTCAATCTTTTAATGCTAATATCATTAATTTTAAATGATTATTTTTATATTAGTCATTGTTATTTTAAAAAAATTAAATATAATATGTAAACATTTGAAAATATTTTATCAATATTTAAAAGTTTAATTTATTTATTTTGTGATAAAATTAATGGTGTTTTAACAGTGTTAGAATTAAAAGACTAAAAAAATATTTTATAAAATTAAGAAATCAAAATGACACATTGTATAAAATTAAAAGACTAAAGCATACTTTAGCCTATTTACTAACTAAAGTTGTGTTTAATGAAATATATTAATCTCTTACAGCATAGCAAAATAAGGTTTGGATCTCCTGAAAAGATGCACATATTTAATACTTAACTACATATAGATCAAAATTTTCTACCATACTTTTATTGTATGTAATAAAAAATAATTATAATTTTTTATTAAATATTAACAAGGTAAAAAATTGTAAAATTTATAAATTTATAAACTTAAAAATAAAAATAAAAAACATGAAATAAATAAAGAGACAAATTAATATCCAAATAAAATAATATTTTTAGTTTTGGTGTAGTTAAATCTTATCAGTGAACAATACATAAGATAGGAAGTTTAAATCGGCATATATAGCAATCTAATTGGAGTGATCTACTGTCCGTCCTTAATATCTCAGAGAAGATTGGAATGAACATTTTTTAACAAAAAATGGATGTGTATCAGGGCCTAAAATTAATGAATTAATCATTAATTCAAACTTATACCTTTCAATTCAATGAATACATCATTTTTTGCTAATGCTCTTCACGCTTCAGTATTTAAAAAAAAAAAAACTCGGAACTTATATTACAAAAATCCACATAATTACAAACAGAAAGAAACCTGAAGACCTCTGATCAATCAATCAATTTTTTTGTTTTTTTTTTTTGGTTTGGCCAAAGATCAATCAATCAATTAACCTTTATAAAAACGAAGAATAGGCATCAAAACTCCAAATAAGTGGGGAATATAAATGGATATATAAATAATCAAAACAATAAAATTCAACATTCATGCTAAACACTAAGGGGCATTTTTTTTTAAATAATCATTTTGTTAGTCCGGGTTAGATCGTTAGAAATAAAACTACGAAGAGACTATTATTATAATCATTGCTTTAAAATAATAGCAACTATCTTTTTTAATATTAACTTTTAACAAAGGACATATAAATCTACAATGCTTTTTTTTAAAAAAAAAATTCCATTAAGCAGCCAATAAGAACTGGCCCCAAAATATACATTCATAAACACCAGAAAATAGAGCTCCACTCGAAATCAAAGCATGAATTTGGTTGCTGAATCAAATTATAGTAACAAAAAACAAACCCCACGAAGTCACGATCAAACTAAATATTAGAATACGCACACATATATATAATTTTCAAGACTTACATATATATAATTTTCAAGACTTATTTTCTTTCTTCTAGTCTCCTTTCATTGCACCAGCAGCAAAATCTTTTTTATTTCTATTTTATTTTTATTAAAATAAAAAATTATAAAAAAAATAAATTTTAATAAATCTGATCATCAATTTGATCAATCCAAATTTAATATTAAATATTTTATAAATTAACTATCAAGACAGATATACTTTGAAATGTGCATATTTAATATGAATGGTTTAAATTTAATATAAAATTTTTTAAATTGATTATTCAAATACACTTCAGACAGTGTACTTATGAAAAACATATTTTTAAAAAATTATAAATTAAATATTTTACATCTAAACTGAATATCTGAATAATTAATTTATAAAAATTATCAAAATTTAATAAATTTGAATTATTAATATTAAATTTAAACTGTCTTGATTTATGAACAGTCCAAATTTTGTTGCAGGTGCAACAAAGGGGAGGAAGAGGGAAGCTTCGAAGGAGAGAAGCCGATTTCTAGCTTCAATTATGTATCTCTTCCCTATAATCCAACCCAAAATTCTGATGTAGGAACAAATATGATTTAATTAACCAAGTAAATAAGAAAAAAATTGATCATATATATTCCAACACGAAAGAACATGTCCAAATTATGGAAAATAACACCAACAATGGTTTGTTTGAAAATCCTTTGCCAAAACATAGACCTAATAGAACTGATATGTGACCTTTTTAACGCCTCTCTTCTCTGTTAGCAGGTTTGGTTTGGGACTCTTCATGAAATTTACATCTTTAATCTAAAAATAAAAGAGAAAGATATATAGTATATAATAACCCAATATTTTTTTAAAAAAAAAAAGATAGGGAGAGAAACATTACCAATGTTGTGCCTCACAGTTTGAAACTCTTCGGCTTCATTTTTTCTTCAAGCCCTTGTTACGTTGATGCTTGCTTCTTCAATCTCCAGATTTCTGCTTTTATATATATATATATATATATATATCTCTTCTCATATTGCTTTGGTTTCTTTCATCTGACAACATTAAAGGTGAAATCAATCACAGTGATCGCTGCCTTCCTTTTATTTGTTTTCCTTTCCTTTTTCTGAAATTTTAGCCCTAATCAGCATTCATTCAATTGATGTTAAAATTTCACTTTTTTTTTCTTTTTAATTTAAAAATTCACTTCCACCCAAACTCATCCGCGAGCTGTTTCAATGCACAATCACTTTTGTGATGACATGCGCCATTCTAGATTAGTAGATTTGATATCATTTTTATTTTTTAAATATTTTTAGTATATAAGTATTATTAATAGGTACAGAATTTAAAATAATAATAATAATAATAATAATAATAATAATAATCTTATAACTATTACTCTGTCAAAAGATAAATTTTTAATATGACAAATTACATGATAACAATTTCTAATCCAAACCAGTAAAATTAATTTTGGATGATTCAGATTTTATCATGGTTGAAATTGCAATCCAACCATGAAATTGCTGAATATTTTATAATTTGATGGTGATGGATGATTAACTTATTAAATAATAACATTATATGTATTAACAATTAAAATGTGAGTGATTGAATATTTTAAAGGAAAAATTACTCTGCACATCCTTATAATTTTCTCAAGTCTTTGTAATTTATTTTATTTAAATTGAACCCTTATAATTTCTCTCAATTTTAAATTATATCCTTAAAAATTAAAATCCTTGTCCATTGAAAAAATAAAATTAAGCACTTTATATTTTTATTAAATAATTATATAACTTTAGAATTAATTATATAATTTTTATAATTTAATTTATATAATTAAGTTATGTTTTCTAAAAAAAATTTATGCATACAGAATTTTCATAAAAATTTGAACATTGTATTAAATTAATTTTTTTTTTGCCAAAAGCATCAAGCCAATTTTTTATATATTTCAATTTTTTTTGTTTTGAAAATAATTAATCATTTATTAATAATTTTAAATTTTAAAGATTAACATATCTACTAAATCAAATTTTAAGGGCTCAATTCAAACAATGTAAATTAAAAGAATTTAATTTAAATTTTAAAAAACTATAACACCTATGAATTATTTTTCTCTATTTTATTTTCCATCTTATAAATATGATACTTGAATATTGTTCATTTTAATATTATCATATCATCTTATACTACCAATCCATGATTTGAGTTGACCAAAATCCATAGACCTCGTTTGAATGAATGGCCAAATTCCGAGTCGGAGCCACTTCCGTCCAAAAACTCATGTGGGCCATAGTTGTCCTGTTCAACGAGCATGTTGGAGGGAACAATACTATTGCCATTACTTGTTACAATTATTACTTTATTAGCGGGCGACAATGACATATTATTACCTACCGCAATAAATTACATGGTTATCTTCTCATCATATGGAATAACGACATTGTAATTCCTTTTTCCCCAAAATTTTAAATTATAATATCAAGATATCCCTTTTTTTTTTGGCCTGAAGATATCCCTTTATTTAAGATCCACAAAAAAAATTAAATTATATGAATGGAGAATGTAAAATCAATATATATATATAATTAGTAGGAAATTATGCTATTCATAAGGCATATAGTTTATTTGCAAAAATCTATGTTTACTTATACTGTCATTTTCAAAATAATTTGGCTCATTCTTTTATTTTAATACTTAACTATAAAATAAATATTTCATATTAAATTACTTCCATATTAAATCAATATTCAAACAGCCAAAAGCCAAGAAATCTTATACAATTAAAAGCATATCATTCTAATTAATTCTTTGTTTTCGGCCGGGATTGTAATTGATTATTTAACTATAGATTTATTTTTTTGGATTTTATATAATTTATAAAATAATTATCTAATTTTTTAATTCTTATTACGACATAAAAAATTTACATATAATATATAAATTCTCAAAAAATATATTATCTATTATTTTTCCCACCTATTACTTAGTAAGAAAAATACCAATTAAATTCTAAAAGAATAAATGAATGACAGTTAGATTTTTAATAAAAAAATTTAATAAATAAGTTGTATATATTACTTTAAATAATTGAAAATTTAAGAATTTTAATTATAAATAAAATATTTTAATTCTTTAATTCTTATTTTACAATTAAAATTTATAGTTGCAAAATTTTATTCACTTTTTTGTTTTTTGTTTTTTGTTTTTTGTTTTAGTTCTTCTAAAACTTCCCGGATGAGGCACTAGGGTTTACTCCAAGCGGACCTGACGCTTTTTTCCTCCCAGGGCCCTGGACTGACTCTCTCTCTCTCTCTACCCCCACCCACCCTTCCCCACTGTCAGACCTGTTCGTGTCATCACTGTCTCTCACTGCAACATTGGTCTTCTTCCTCTCAGGTTTAGGGTTTAACTCTACAGTTTTTCACCTTAGTCTCTTCCAATCTTGGTTTTCGGGAATGGAGGTTTCTGCTATTGGCTTCTTAGAGAAGAGGATTTGGATTGGCTCTCTGATGGAGGCTCTGGCGGTGGAGACTGTTCTTGTTGCAGGGAAATGCCTCCTTTGGCTTCTTAAAGCGGTATTGCTTCCCTTCCTTTCTGTAATTTTGGGATTTATTTTCTTAACATGTTTGTAATTCATCTTCATGGCGCAATAAGTAGGATTTATGCTGGAAACTTCTGCTTTAATTTCACGTTCTTGCTATTCTTTCTGGGTTTATCAGAGTCATACTTTTTAGTTTTCTCTGTTGTGTAGGTTTCAATTACCCTGTCATTCATTGGTCTTGGCTTCTGTGAATAATTTGGGGATCTCACTGGATTTTTACCGTCTATTTTTGCCTTTTTGATCAAATGCTTTCTCTGCGTCATAATATTCTTCTTTGGATGAACCACACTAAAAATTTCCCTGCTTTGTAGTATGTAGAGCTTTGTGTTTCTGGTTGTGGGTAAAATTGGTTCATGACTTCATGTTATAGTTATATCAGTGATGCACAAATCTTATGCACTAGTTACTCTTCTTGATGTTTCTTTTCTACAAAATATGGTGTGTTTATATACGGAGCTTTCCCTATTCATTTGTGATCCAAAAACTTTACTTAGTTGGGTTCCAGTGAATGGTTGATATTTCAATTCAGGATAGTATTGCTCTTGTTAACAGTGTTTAAAATTTCATCGATGCCTTTTCTTTCCCTGTTTACAATTCGATCATTCTATTTTCTTTTCCATTAGTATTTAGCAAAGGCAGGTGTAGTACTTGTGTGCTCGTTAGTGGCCAGGTTTCTCATGATTCAAGACGCATTTTGGGGCCTCCTGTACTTGTCGCTTGATTCATGATTAAACATGATTTGGGATGCTTTGTTTCATTTACAACAATGATTCACAGTATAAAATGTTTTGCTCTTAAAGAAATGTGATGGTAATGCAAAATTTTGTGGCGAGAAAAGCATGACATAAGCTCTTGCGGATTGTATCTATGTCAAGTCCATGCTTGGGACTGTAAGATGTGAAATATTCTTGCTCTGTGTTCTATGGCTAAAAAAAGGGCATTATACTCTGAATGGCTCTGATCTCATTCCCTTCTCTTTCTTTCTTGCTATTTATAGTATTTGAGGGTTCTGTTATAAACTGGAACTGTTGACAAGCCCAACTGTGTCTTTAAATTGTAAATATATGCCCATACTATGATACTATCTGTATTTGTTTTCTGACAATTTTAACATGTTATATGATTAGTGTGTTTAAGATCATTTTGCTGAGATTAAAGTAGAGTAAATTAATACAATCTTTTCACACTGAATTGATATAAAGGTTCTCATATTCTGTGTATAATGCAGACTGAATCTCTATTGACTGATGTCAGTCATTCAGTGTCACCAAAATTGGCTCCGATGGGTGGAAGGTGAGGTTAATTTTTGCAACTCTCCAGAGGGTGCCCTTCTTTTTTGGTAGATTTGGAAAGTCCATTCATCCCAATGTTTACATGTTAATTCTCTGTCAGGTTTCCTTTAGATGAACTCTTGAGGGGAAAACATGCTTTCGTAAAATGCAAGGATGCTAGTGATGAAGATGATGATGAAGATGACCAAGATGAAGAAGATGCAAATGATCAAGATGATGATGATGATGCTGGAGACGAGGACTTTTCAGGTGGTGAGGAAGATGCAGATCCTGAGGATGATCCTGAGGCCAATGGTGCAGGAGGAAGTGATGACGGGGAAGATGATGATGACGAAGATGGAGATGAAGATGATGAGGATGATGGGGAAGAGGACGAGGACGAAGAGGAAGACGAAGAAGACGAAGATGATGAGGAGGTTCCCCAACCACCTGCTAAGAAGAGAAAGTGAGAAATTGAGAGTTGTAGTAGTAGGTACATTGTTTTCTTCTCATCCTCTGTAATGCATTCTCAGTCATGCTTAGTTCTTAGAACAGTTCTTTCATCTTCCTCCTGAATGGACCAGTTGTTTTACCTTGTGTCGAAGATCATAATATTATCATTAATGTATTCTCATTGTGATTTTCGTCAACTATTATGATCATTTTTATGCTTTCTGTCATTGTTATAACGACAGCTGGATGATGACAAGGTTTGATAACGGTCTTGACGTCTGTTTAATGAAATGGGTTATTTATATACACTGTTTTAACTTTTACGCCCGTTTCACGTGTAAAAGGACGGGTAAAGGATTGGTTAAGAATATCAATGAATTAAAAAACAGATTAGACTGGCCGGTCTGACTGAAAAGCGGATGAACCCACCGTCACATCAGTTCAGAGGAGGCGCAAAACTGGCCTCCCTCAGAGCAAGCCATGGACCGAAAAATCCGGGAAACTAGTGAATCGGATAAAAACCAGCCGGTTCTACCCGATTCTTGTGAATGTTGACATGGTTAAGAAAACAAGTAGGCCTCATGAACCTATAAATTATATTTTGTTAAAAAAATTATTACCCCCATACACTATTAATAATATATTTTTACGATCTATTATTCTTTTTTTCTTTTAATATCAGGAGTAGGTTTATAGGCGGAATGAGGTGTAATTAAGGGCTAGGACAAATTTCGGGGGGAGCCCACAAGTATTTATCATCTTGTAAATGTTTAAGGCCATGCTTTATAAATTAGCTAAAAAAAATTTTTGTAGATAAATTTTGACCTCCTCCACCCCGAATTAGCTGCGGAAGAAGAAAATTTGGCCCCGCAGAATAATCCATGACGTGTAGTTGAGGGGTTGGGCTGTACTTTTCTGGTTTTATATATGACTATAATCTAATCTATTTTATAGATCATTAATTGATGAAATTATTTTATTTTAAATTAAAATTCTCAAACTATCTGTAAAAAGTAAGAAAAAGAAAGACAAAAAAATACAAATAATATTATATTGTTTGTTTATTTTTTGCTTTTTACTTAAAGTTTATATTTGAAATTTAGCTTACTTTTATTCCTTATATTTTTGTTATATTGATATTGAAGATGTTAGTGGAAATAATTTATAAATAAGATTAGATGGAGTATTGACCTTCATCTCATGCCCTCACCTCACCTTTACCCCCTATTTGGATGAGAAGAAAATATGGAAGAAAAGAAAACTAAACAAAAAAATAAGGCATGAGATTTACCTTATTTTCTTCCTGACTTTTCTCTTTATAAGTGGAGAGATTTTGAGAAGAAATTATTGTCCTGCATTTGCCCTCACCTCTCTCCCTTTGATAAAACACTAACATCACAGTCGCACCTTCATTCTGATTCACCCACGCATTGGGACCATGGGCTTTCCAGTGATCCCCTCTCCATCTTCGAACTCCCTTTCGATCTCCATGGCTTCAGACTCTGTTTCAGACCTCTACAATTAAAGGACTTGTATATGCTACTGCCTACTTGATTTAATATGAAATTTTTGTGGTGCTTTTTTTTTTTGTTTTTTTATTCCTTTTCATTTAATGTTTATTAGTTCGAAACAATCTTTTCTTCTCTGTGCTGTAGTTGGTGTTTAAAATGGAACAATGGGAGAGGGGCATCTTCATTTTTTCTCTTTCATTTCCTTCCACATCCTTCATCCCTATCATTCAAATTATTTTATTAAATAATTTTTTTAAATAATAAAATTAATAAATGGTGAGAATGGAGGAAGTGAAAGAAAATGAATAGAAAAAAAATGAAGAGACTCTTCTCTCTTAAACAATCTCTTATTGCTTATCATTGACTTTAGTTTTAAATTTTTAAATAGAAAATTATCCATTTTGATATTTAAATTATTATATTTTATTTAAAAAAGGATTAATGTATCAATATACCTTTAAAGTTTCCAAACAAGCACTTCTAATATCCTCAAGTTTTCTTAGGCATAATTTCACCCTAACGTTGGCTGATCATTAGTTGATTGTTAACTTATTGAATTTAATTATTCAATGCCTAATTAGATGTCCATGTAGGATTCCACATCAAAAGTATGTTTTCTTTTACCAATGCCACCTCAATTTTTCACCTTCCTCAACCAGAACCATCAAACATAACAATCAAATCCAGCAAATGAAGAATCCAAGGCAAGAACAATCAAGCCAAAACAAACAATTTAACCCAAAAAACTTAATTCATGAACCCAAAAATCAGGATCATCAAATAACCAAAAAATGATTAAGAACAATCAAAGAATATAAGGCAAGAACAACCAAAGAACAATCATTAGCCTTAATCAAACCCAGAAATCGTTGCTAATCAAACCCAAAAAAAAACTAGTGAAATAGATCTCAACTATTTTGGAACCGAAAAAACCATGTTCACTAGTATCGATAGTGACGAAAGTGATCGGAATCAAGGCATAATTTTGGAACCCTAGCACGAATACTTGGGCAATAGACAATAGTTTTGAGTCTACGGCTTGAGAGAAAACCCAAAGAAAAGCTCAAAGCTTGCAGATCCTGAGTTCTCTTTCATTGATACTAGCTCTATTATAGTTCAAGATCGAGAGAGTGAGATTGAGTCAAAGAACCCAACTTGCATTGATCCAAGCGAATCAAAACAGGCCAGTCATCGGCATTGGTCGAGAACCCAACCTCTATCTCAATCTGTCTCTATCGATCCAAGATCCAAGCAAACCAGAACTCAACCTTTGTCTCGATATGTCTCTATCGATCCAAGTGAATGAAAACCCAATCTTTGTCTCGATCTCTCTTCGTCAATCCAAGAAAACCAGAACCTAAACCCTATCTCAATTTGTCTTAAACCTCATTTAAATCTTCTGATCTACATTTGAATAATCTCTATTAGTTGTCACAACTCAACTACCTCCTTCATCGAACCTCAGTTACCCAGCATGCTCTCAGCCCATATTGTAGATCAATGAACCCATCTAGCTCTAGCAAAATCAAGGCTTCGACTTCAGCTTCTAGAATGATGCAAAATCCCATATCGTTGAATCAACCACCAAAACGATTAAAGAGAAAGAGAGAGAGGAAGCTAGATGGGCATTGGCACGCGTTCAATCACAACGAGGAAGAAGAAAGAAGAATACTTCATTCCAGATCGAACATGATCTCTATTTCTTTTTTTTTAATTTTTTATTTTTATAATATGGTAAGTGGATGCCAACTCAGCAATTCAAAGTCAAATTGACGATCAACATGGTCAAATCCCAACTATAAGGCAAAGTTGTACCATATTTAAAAAAAAAAGATGAAATTGCATCAAAATTAAAAACTTGAGGGTACCACATGCTCCTATATGAAAACTTTAAGACTAAATTTATACTTTAACCTTTTAAAAAACTATCCATTTTGATGTTTACATAGAAAAATATAAAAATATAATTTTTAGCCAAATAGTTTTATTTCAAAATATTTCAATAGATTTTGTAACATCCTGAATTTTAATTTTTAGTTAAATAACGAGATAATCAGGTTTAATTTGTTAAATTGAGTTAGAGAATGAATAAAGAAGGCTAAAGATTAATATGGTGCGTGGTTACAGAAAACCAATGGATGTTTTGGATTATGACAACTCTAGGATTGAGTTTGAAGTGAAGTCAGACCATTCAAACATCAAAAAGTGAAAAAAAAAAAAGGAAATGGCTCTGTGCCTTATGCCATGGCACATGAGCCAACAAAACATGAAACTCACCTCTTTGTGTGCCGTGGCACACGGTACATTTTTTGCAAAAATACTTTGTGAACGGACTCAAAAATCAGAAGAGAAAAAAAGGAGAAAACATGAAGCATTAGGAGAGCTTTACTAAGGCTTTAATTTTAAGAATGTTAGAGGCATTTTGAAGCTACTAAATTCTAAGAGTAAGTTTTCTAACCTCTTCTTCTCCTCTTTCCAATTCATTTTCTTAAGTTTATGGTTAAAGTTTGTAAGTGAGAGGTAATTTTTAGTCCATATAGATTATTAATTCGAATAGATTAATTCAAATGGAGTTAATGGGAGTTATTTGAGGCATTTAAACTTGAGAATAATGATTTACACATTTTGGTGGTTATGGGTGCATTAATGGCCAAAAATGTCATTTATTATGGTTGTTAGACTTAATTGGGAAGTCATTAATAACAATATGAGAGTTTAATAAAGCTCTTGAGAGTTACAGGCAATGAATGAACCCAATAGTTAAGTTTGAAATGCTAGACATGGGGATTGTGGATTATTTGAAATATTGAAATGAAAGTAAAAATGGAGTGTATGTGGTAATGTTGAAGAGTTTTAACTTGATTAATTGTAGATTAATCGTTCAAGCACCATATTTAGCTTGGAAAGCAAGCTTGGAAGTAAATTATTGAGGGGCAAACTTTCTTAAATGTTTGAGGTAACCGGAGGAAATCTATTGTTGTATAGTTATATGTTAATTGCAATATAATTTGAAAATGAATTCATTACATGAATGATTGAAATGGTGGTTATAAATACATGCCATAATTGTGCAAGGTTTTCATTAATCTTAATTTGTCCATATTTATGGAGTTAGAACTTGAAATGGATGTATATCACAAGTTTGTGTGGAAATAAGTAGTTGACAAGTTGTTTGATAAATGTGTGAATGTGATGATTGAGTAAAGTGAAGAATGTGTAGATATGTGTGAATTTTTAAAACTGGAGTATTTATGAAAATGTTTATCTTACTCACATGTTTCAATTGATTTTGTATTGAAAATGATAAGCTTGTTAATTAGAAATTACAAGTATGTGAAAAATGTGTATGAGCATGAGATATTGCATGATCATCTGGCGGAAGTTCGCCTAGAGAGAGGAGTAGAAAATCCATATGGTATTTTATAGCTATCTTTTGGTGCACGAAGGTTAGCCTTGTCTGATTGTTCATTAAGGGACTTGAACCTGATTATCTTCGCTTGTTTGTCAACGAGTATAGCTTAGGGTATACGACACCTCAGAGATTCGAGAATGGGGGTAGCCATAGTCTTAGAGTAAGTACGGTAATCTTTAGCTAGGTCACTCCTCACAATTAGTGAGCTTGGATAGTCTAGTCATACGAATGGAGCTCTAATAGATATTATAGCCTATGGTTTCAATTGAAAGAA